GCGGGAAGCCTGCTTCTCCCTCTCCCACTCCCCCTGCTTGTGTTCCCTCTCTCACTGTGTCTCTCTCTAGAGGTCAAATAAATAAATAAAATCTTTAAAAAAAAAAAAAATGCAGGAAAGAGACACCTAGGTGGCTCAGTCAGTTAAGTGTCCAACTCTTGATTTCAGCTCAAGTCATAGTTTTGAGATCCAGCCCCACACTGGGCTCTGAACTGGGCAAGGAGCCTGCTTAACATTCTCTCTCTCTCTCCCTCTCCCACAACCCCTCCCCCCACTACTCACGCACATGTGTTCTCTCTCTAAAATAAAGTAAAATAAAATAAAATAAAATGCAGGAGAAATATTCTTATTTTTAAAAATTATTCTATCTCAAACTAATATCTAATACCATGCTTTACAGAAGATACCTCCTACAACTACTATGATTTAGTGATGAGCACATTCTAACCAATGTAATAAGGCGGAAAAAACGGATTTCCACTTCCAGTTATAAACGAATAACTTATATGGAATTGCTCTACCACCAAAAATTAGAACATGAGACAAATATGTGACAAATATATTTTCAGACACCGGAACAACAGGCAGCGCAAGGGAACAGACCAATTGGGATCTACAACTGCCCCAGGCTGTCTGCTGGGAGGTAATTTTTAGAACTCAGTACAGGCAGGGGAGGACTCAAAGAGAGCAGAGACCGAGGTCCAAGGAGGCTAAGTCAGCTGAAATCTGCAGGGCAGAGTATGAAGAGGAAGGTATGCAGAGAACGAGCTCCAGAAGTCTACAGAGGTCCCTTCGAGTCTTTGGCTGAATGCTCACAAGCATTGGGAGGAGTCCACAAGGCCAGGTAAGAACAACTACCAAAAAGCACTGAGGCAAAGAGTTTCCAGCTGACATGGGGCCAACATTCAAATTCCATCAAGCCAGAGTAGAGTCCATGTTGAGCACCCAGAGCAACCAGTAGACACTCCAGACAAGTCTTTCCTTAAGTAGTAAGGCTAAATTAGAGAAAAACTAGAGAAAAAGTGAGACCTGCCCTAACAAGGCTTTAATAGGATCAAAAGGATACAATGATTTACAATTAACTAAACTGCCTAGCAAATCTGAACACTCTTTAAAGACAAAAAATTTAAAACCACCATCATAATAATCACAATGTCCATCATCCACTCAAAAATTACGAGGCATGTGGCTGTCTAAAGTTACGGTGACTCCTAACAGGGAAAATCAGTCAACAGAAATTCCCTAGACAAAGAAGATATCAACTTTAGAGCAAGTATCATAAATACTATAAACACTAAAACATGCTCAAGGATGTACAAGAAAACGTGAACAATACGAAGCAAAGAAATGAAGATACAAACACAAACAACTTCAAGAGCTAGAAAAAATAAGATCTGAAATGAAAAAGTAACTAAATGAGATTAACAGCATATTAGATACTGCAGAAGAAAAGATCAGAGAACTCAAAGATACAGTAACTAAACTTCTACACTACAGGGGTAGGGGGGCTAAAACAACAAGCAGCCTCAGGACCATGTGCAGCAGGGTCAAGTGACCAACATACAGGTAACCTGAGTCCTGGGGGAGAGCAGAGAGGCAAAGGCAGAGAAATATGTATAGAAATAGTAGTCAAAATTATTCCAAATTTGATGAAAACTGTAAACCTATTAATCCAAAAGGTTCAACAAACTCCAAGCAGGATAAATGGAAAGAAAATTACACCATGACATGTCATAATGAAATTGCTGAAAGCCAGCAATAAAAAAAAAAAAAATTCTACCAACTGCCAGAGAAAAAGCCCACTTTACACGGAGAAACAAAGAGAAGAATAAAAGACAGACCTCTTGTCAAAACCAATACAAACCAAAGGCAGTAGGACCATATCTTTTAAAATGCTGAAAGAAAAAACTGTCACCCTAGAATTCTATAATCAGCAAAATCTCTCAAAAGTGAAAGTGAAACAAAATATCAAAAGCTGAAAGAATTCATCACCAGTAAATCTGCACCAGAAAAAAATGATAAGTTTTGAAGTCAAGCAAAAAATAAACGAGACCAGATAGAAACTACAATCTATATAAAACAAAGAATAAAGGTGGAAATGGTAAATACAGGAATATTAGATTTGGGGTGCCTGGGTGGCTCAGTCGGTTAAGCATCAGACTTTTTTTTTTTTTTTAAAGATTTTATTTATTTATTTGAGAGAGAGAGAATGAGAGACAGAGAGCACGAGAGGGAAGAGGGTCAGAGGGAGAAGCAGACCCCCCGCCGAGCAGGGAGCCTGATGTGGGACTCAATCCCGAGACTCCAGGATCATGACCTGAGCCGAAGGCAGTCGCCCAACCAACTGAGCCAGCCAGGCACCCAAGCATCAGACTCTTGATTTCCACTCAGGTCATGATCTCTGAGTCGTGAGATGGAGCCCCACTCCAAGCTCAGCATGAAGTCTGCTTGAGATTTTCTCTCCCTCTGCCCCTCCCCCTATTTTTTAAAAAAGATGTACTTATTTATTTTTATACAGAGAGCGTGTGAGAGACAGCCCGAGAGGGAGAGGGAGAGAGAATCTCAAGCGGACTGAGTGCAGAGCCCAACACGGGGCTTGATCTCACAACCCTGAGATCAGGACCTGAGCAGAAACCAAGAGTTGGTCACTTAACCCAACTGCACCACTTAGGCACCCCTCCACAAAGGTAACTTTGAACTTTTTTTTTTTTAAGTAGGCTCCACAACCAGTGTGGACCCAACATAGGACTTGAACTCACAACCCTGAGATCAAGACCTGAGCTGAGATTGAGTTGGACACTTAACCAACTGAGCCACCCAGGCACCCCTGAATCTTTTTTAAAGGATGAAAATGTATAACCACGGATAAAGAGATCAAGCTAACATTATTTACAAAGTATATATTTACTGCTTTGAAAACACAAAAGAAACTGAAAAGCTAGTCAACTATTTAATTACACAACAACTCTAAACATTACACCCAGTTGAAGCAGCCAGTCACAAAAGTCCACATGCTGTCTACTCCATTATGGGAAATGCTCAGAAAGCACAAATCCGGGGACAGAAAGGGCCTCAGTGGTCCAGGAACTGGAGGGAGAGCGGGGCGGCTGCGGGTGGACATGGGCTGCTTCTGGGGGTGATGAAATGTTCAGGAATTGGTGGTGATGGCTGCACAACTCTGTGATATACTAAAAACCAATGAAGAATACACATAAAAGGGTGAACTCTATGGCGTGTAAGTTATACCTCACCACATGAGCACAAGGAGCTTTCACCCCAGAGCAAAACTCTGAACAGACCACTTAGGGCAAGTGAAGCACTCCCCGGAGGGGATGTGAGCACCCCAGATAAAGGCAGGGCTTCATTCTGCCATGTGGAACATCCTCAACCAACTCACCTGCTCCCAGAGAAAACGTGCCCATCCACTCACCACACTGCCTGACAGAATCCTCTCAGGAGAGGTTTAGCTGGAAACACTCCAACATAAAATAGAAGCAGAGGAACCCCCATTCACATCCATTCAGTCTTAAATATGGACAGAACCAATAACATGAGAAGACCAAATTACACAGAAAAGCTGACTCCAGAGGAAAGAAGTGAACTCGGGGAAGAGCAGAAAACAGCCAGAACTAGACCAAGAGATTCAGAAAGATGGCACTGCCATTCCACAAGGATAGAGACCAGAAAAACAGATCATTCCACATGCTTATCTCAGTAACCCTCACCACCCCCCCAAGATGCAATAAATACAAATACACAAAGGAACAGAAAAGAAAAAACAACAGCCAAGAGATGTCAGCTGTGACTTAGAAACTGGACAGCGGCAGGGAAAGCCACGGTAACTGGAGCAGCCCAGCAAGGAGTCAGAGCTGAGGGGCCAGGAACGGCCCAGGGCAGGACACGGCGAGGGCTGAAAACAGGAGGAGTGCTCTAGGGTCTCCCAGCCACAGCCCCTTTTAGGCAGAAGATGAGAGGTTTACCTCTCCAGAGTGGGGAACACCAAAGCCATTAGCCACATTTGAGGTTTTTTTTTTACTTAAGTCAAATAAAATTTTAAATTCAGTTCTTCAGTCATACTAGCCATATTTCAAGTGCTCAGCAATCCCATGTGGCTAGTGGTGACCTTACCAGACAGCACAGATCTAGAACATTCTGTCATCACACAAAGCTCTACTGGACAGAAGTGCTCTGGAGAGGGTAGGTCCAAGAGGAAGCCAGGACACATCTGACAACTGCCACGCAGTCAGCTCCTGATTCAACAAGGAGTAGGCATTCCAGGCTAGGAGGCCCACAGCGGGACCCTCCCCAACAGGGCCCCAGCATCCAGCAGCTAGCCATGTGCTCCCCAGACAGGAACATCCGACCCATAAGACAACTTCGAAAAATACCAAACCAAGCACAAGAGCGCTTAGATAGTAAAAACAATGGACAAAATAAATTCAAGAACATCTTCCACATGCAAAACAAAGATCAAAAAGAAAAACTATGTGGGAAAAGCTAAGGGACCCAGAGGAGTGATCCCTCCAGTGATCACTCCTGGAAACTGAACATCCAATTCACAGGGACATCAAGAAAGAGAAAGCAGAAGCAGAGAAATGACCAATAACACACCAGAAGTCCACTGAGCCAAAGGATGTAAGTCTTCTGGTTAAAATTATCCTGCTAATGCCCAGCATAAGAGAAAAGGCCCAGAGCAATTCACACTCTTATAAGACATCAGTTTCTGGAAACTTTCAGTAACAAAAAAGTCTCCTGAAAAAGAAACTTGGACTTGGTAACAGTGGATGAGGGAACCATGCCTTCCGTCTTCAGCCAGCCAAGCTATCAACCAAGTATGAAAATGCATTTATTCTGGGGGCGCCTGGGTGGCTCAGTTGGTTAAGAGACTCTTCGGGTCAGGTCATGATCCTGGAGTCCCGGGATCCAGTCCTGCATCGGGCTCCGTGCTCAGTGGGGCGAGTCTGCTTCTCACTCTCACACTCCCCCCTCTCATGCTCTCTCTCTCTCCTTCTCTCTCTCAAATAAATAAATAAATCTTTTAAAATAAATAAAAAATAAAACCAAATTGGAATAATTCTGTAGGTCTAAAAAAAGAAAAAGAAAATGCATTTCTTCTGCCTGAGACAGGTGAGAATTCAGAAAGCTTACCTTCTACAAAACCTGGTAGTTACCTGAAGAAGAAAAAAACAGCACACACAGCACCAGCCCACTTTTTAAAAGGCACATATGTATCCGCTAAAGCTAACCCCTACTGCCTCACATGGTAACATGTTTGAAGTTTCAACAGCCCTGTGGGGCAGGTAGTGCTAATAATCCCCATTTTACAGGTGAGGACACCCAGGCCAGAGCAGCTGAGTGGTGGCACTGGGTATGCAAATCCAGGCAGTCTGGCCTGGGTCTCAAGCACCTAACCCCCACCCTGTGCTGCTTTTTAATTTAAGTTACTATTGCTACCTTCCTCCTTCCTAATTTCACTGCCAGGAGTGTTACTTTTGCAGACAGAAAAAAGAAAAAAATTGTTATCAGTATGAAACAGGTCAAAAAGAAACAATGAGAAAAGAAACAAAAAGCCACTCCCCTTATACTAAGTTAAGGAAACCCAAGCCTCTCACTGTCTCCATCTATAAAACAGAGCTGACCAAAGATCATATATGATCTATATGAGGATTAAATGGTGACCCCCCGTAAAGCACTCGGTTCTAACAAAATGTGCCTGGCAAACGAACTGATTAAAATACACACGATGAGCAAAAAAGAGGTTCTTAAGTAACAGCAAGGAAGAAAGAAGCTCAAATACATCTGCCCAGAGCCTAGAGCAACATTTAGAACTCCTAGGACTATCACAGTCCACTAGCATTAAGTGGCCCTACTAACAAATAAGAACAGGGCACTTCGTCCTGACACCCTCTGCTGGCAAATACAAAGACACACACATCCCAGCACCACACACTAGGCCTCTGTGATCTGTAAGTGTAAGGATCTGTAAGTGAAGGATCAAAACCCAAATCATTAGCCTCCGTCCTTACCAAGGTGTGGGTCCAACAGATGAGGCTGCTCCTGGTATTTGTCCATTATTACTAAAAAGAAAAACATGGGAATTAACACCACTGAGGTACGTATGCACACAAGGCCCAGGAATCCTCAGTTCTCCCCCCGCTGACTGCTATGGCTCGGCTCTTAAGAGCAAGGCCACCTGGGGCAGCCCCCCAGCGCCACCACACCCTCCACTTGCTCAGCACACCTTCCTTTCTCCCCACCCATCAATCCTACACAGACACCTTCCACTCCTTTACTCCTCCCTGTGCAGAACATACTAAGCGTTGTGCCCTCCCCGGGCCCAGTCCTTCAGAGCACACGCTCCTCCATCCCAGGCAGCCTGGTTTCCGCTCCTTCCAGCAGCTGGCGCTGCTCCCATCAGATCCAAAAACCCCTCGCCTGTGACAGGTACCCTATGCCACACCCCTCCACACCTGCCGGCTTCCTGGGAACGGGAAGCCAGGCTCTCCCTGGATACTCCCCTCACCGCACAACAGGTCTGTGCACAAGATACTGGCTTTGCTCACCCCAGTCCGCAACCAAAGAAACAGACTCTGAAGGGCAATGAGGCACTCAGTCCAAGCGCAAGCGAGTATCAGCCCTGGGGTGTATCAGCGAAGCACATGCTGCGTCCACTCAGCCGCCGCACTGCCCCCCCCCCGAAGCCAGAGGCTCGTCACCGCAAACCGAGGAAGGCAAAACTCGGCGGAAATTGACTCAGCAGAAAGGGCCCACAAGGATGGTTTTACTGAGTCACAAAACGCTCCCGATCCCACTCTGGGATCCTGGGGAGTCGCTCCCTCATCAGTCCTTGGAGATGAGTGCCCAGGGCGCCGCCCGCCGCCGATTCTCCGCGGGCCGAACTCGGAGTACGGACGCCAGCCAGTAACCCGTGCTGCGCGCTCCCCGCCGGTCGTCCCCCCCCCGCAGGGCCCAGGGCGACGGGGCTGTCCCCCGACTGCACCGCCATCTGCTCCCCCGCCCTCTCCGCGCCTTTGTCTGCGGCACGCGCGTTCGCGGCGGCTCCTCCTCTCGCCGCCTGCCGGTCCACACAGCCGTCTCGGAGGAGCCGTGCTTCGCTGGCTCCCGCGACCCGGCGCGGCAGAACTGGAAGTCCCGGCCGCCCCGCGGAGGTCAACCCCAGGGTCCTCACGCCCAACCCTCCGCACCCCTCCTCCAAAGGGCAGGCGGGGGAGGGAGCGCCCACCGCCCCTCGGCCGCCAGGCGAGGCCGCCCGCGCGGGCGCAGGGCTCCCACGGGTGCGCGCCACACGCGAGCCCACGGGAAGAGGGGCAGCTGCAGCCCGACAGCACGCACACACGGGGACCGGGCCGGGGCCCCGCGCGCACCTCGGAACCGCTCCAGGGCGCCCTCCCGGGCCGCACGGTCGCCGAGCACCTTCCGCAGGCCGCCGAGCAGCGCGCGGATCTCCGCGCTCTCGCCGAACGCCTCGAGGGCGCCGCCGCGGGCCAGCGCCTCGTCCTCCGCCCCGTCCTCCAGCGCGCCCGCGGCCGGCTCCTCGCCCAGGGCCATCCTCGGCGTCCCGGACCGCGCCCGTGGGCTCGAAGCCCGGCTACGCCCTAGCGCCGGGATGCGGAATGCGGGTTGATGCAGGCTGAGGGACGACGGCTGAAGCAGAGGCGGTGGCTCCCGACGCTGGCCCCGCCCCGCGACCTCCGACCTCGCGCCTCGGACCCGCTACGGAGCGCGCCGGCCGCCAAAATAGCGAGCACAGAGGTGATGCCGAGCCCTGTGGGGCGGGGCCCGGGTGAAAGGAGCCTGGATCGGACGAAGCCGGGGACGAGGGAGGGCGGAGCCTGCTGCGCGGGCTGGGGGCGGGACCAGGGGAAGGCGGGGTGGGGGTCTGAGCTCGTGGCTGGAGCCCAGGAGGGTCGTGGAACTGAGCCCGTGGGAGGCGGCGGGGCTTTCTAAGCCTGTGGATGGGGCCGGAGGAGGGGGACCTGAGCCCGTGGGGGAGGTGAGGTGGGAACGGAGCCTACGGGCTGGCGGGGAGGGCGGGGAAGGACGGAACCTGTGGGGGGGGTTGGGGAGGGATGTCTGAGCCTGGGGGTGGGATCTGAGCTTGTGGGTGGGATGGGGTGGGGCGGAGTCTGAGCTCATTGGTGGGTGAGTCTGAGCCTGCGGGTGGGGTGTTGGGAACCGCCGTGGCCCGCGCTGGGAGCGGGGTCGCGACCAGAGTCGCAGGAGGAGACTCAGGCTCCGAGCCCCGCCCGCCACCCCTCCCGACTCCTCACCCCGCTACACACACGAGCTACGCGGGTCGCACCGTCACATCCCACAAATATGGGTCCTGCGATGATAGCAGTTTCTGGTTTGAAATGTCACGTGTCTGGAAGGATGCGTCTGGGGTGGAGTTCTTTCTAGAAAGTCTTAACAGGCTCACCTGTCGCGGTGGGACCAGCCTCCTGACCGCCAGGCCCGCTGGACAGTGACACTCAGATAAGGGAAATCTGGGCGCCCCTACCACCGTGATATTGGTAATCTTGCAAGGAGTAATAAAGGCGTGGCCACGCCTTCAGCGACGCGCCGTGGACGGCCAGCGCCCCACAGATCCCGCCCCAGTGCCACCTGTCCCAACCCCCCTTCAAGGATGTCAGCCCCGACGTCCCCAACCAACCGGCCAATCCGGCCACCTGACCACAGTGGACACCCCTGACACCCCACCGTGGGCACACCCCACTGCCCGAGGCTCTCCCGCTACCCTCAGCCTCTTGTTATCCCGCGGCAGACACGCCAGCTGAAAAATGGAGTGCGGAGCAGGTTGGGCGGTGGCTGCAGCCACAATACCTGTCCCCCACAATACTGAGGGCCTTTCCTTCCATCTGTCCTACCTCGTAATGGGAGGACTCGCAGCTCCATTCAGCCCCAGAGATGCCGCTCAAGAGGTGAGACCCATCTCCTGGTCTCCAGCTCTGCCTGAGCCTGAGTCCACGGGGAGATGTGACCCCAACTTCCACCTACGCAAATCGCAGATCTGTGTGACTCTGTAACAATCACCATGAAAATATCCAAACTCCCCCAGATCACAATACATAATGAGCCTGTTGGAAACCTATCAGGCGCCGGGGGCCCTCTGTACATCAGCCCAACTGCAAGGAGGGTGTAGGCACACAGCACAGCCGTTCCATCCCTGAACCCCCTACTTTATTAGTCCCTGAAGCCATCTCTGGTGCTGCCACCCCTACTTATTTGCAAAGCAGGGAGGCAGGGATGCAGGCTGGCTTCTACTTGAGAAGCTTCCTCATCGTGCCCAGGGATGGGCTCCTGTACCCCTGCCCAAAGTGGTTCCAGTGGTTTAGGTAGTTAAAGAGCTGGTACAGCAGCAGTCGCTTGTCGAACCCTGGAGCCTTGGGGATCTTCCGGTGGTAGGCAGTGAAGAAGGATCTGGGAAACCCCCCAAACATCAAAGCAATTGCCAGTTCAAACTCAGAATGTCCATAGAAGGAAGCTGGGTCATAAACAACGGGCCCCGAGTCGTCCTCAGCCACGTTTCCCGACCAGAGATCCCCATGAAGAAGGGCAGGGACGATCTCTAGACCACAAAACAGATCTGGGATCTTCACCTAAGAAAAATAATTATTGCACACAGAGTTACCATGGGATATGAGCCATGGCCGCCTCATCCAATACTTGGAAATAAGGCAGAGATGACCTCATGTTTGTTCTGGGTCCAACCACAGCCTGGTCTATGAAGCCCAGAGACCCTCTGAGTCCAGGAGAATGCAACGTTATCTTACTATTAGTAATTTAGGTCTGGAAAGTCCACAGCACTAATGACGTTCCTACAGCAGAGACCTCAGTGGACGTGGCCCTGTAGAATCTGGGCCAAATAACCTGAGTGCAGGGTTTTTTAGGCAACTTGGCAAACTTTCTCTACTATCCTTTTATTTCTCAGCACATATATGCCTGCACCTCTTCTGTATACAACTGGTTACTTCATTACTGAGTTACACAAAATTTCTTCGCTGCATGGTCACCCTGGATTGACACGCAAATTCTGTTTTTAACATTTGGAGAGTTATCTGCTGCCTACATCTCTAAGAGATGAGACATTCATGCTTTGGAAAAGAACAGGGTAAGAGTGGGTAAGAAAGCAATAGTAAATGCCAGCATTTATGAGCCAAGCACCTGCGTTTCATGTGGGCAAAGCTTGAGGTTGAGTACTTGGTGACCTAACCAGTGAGAGTTGCACTCAGGGGCCAAGTATGTCCTCAGGTACCATCCCCTTCCCAGGTTCCCCATCAGGCCAATAGTCCGGCACTTATGTGTCCACACTTGACCAGCGCTGCTCCAGGGCTCCATTCTACCAGAGGACCCCACACAAATGCGATGGGCTAATAAAAGGACAGCCCCTGACCCACCTGTAGCTGTGACCAGAGCTCTCGTGCCTCTCGGTCGGAGTAGTCCTTCTCAATGAGGTCCAGCTGCGCTTGGAGACGGTACCGGGCAAAGAAGGTGGGCCAGTCTTCCTGCCACTCATTCACCTGGACGGCGAGATGAGGCTGAGGCTGCAGTCGGTGCTCACAGGGCAGAGCCATACATGGGGACTGCCCAAACCCAAGCCCAATCACTAACAGAGAGACCAAATATTACAGCTAGCCACCAGAGGAGATGCGGGAGTCATTAACAATACTCAGTCCAGTGGCGCCTGGGTGGCTCAGTCGTTGGGCGTCTGCCTTCAGCTCAGGTCATGGTCCCAGGGTTCTGGGATCGAGCCCCGCATCGGGCTCCCTGCTCCGCGGGAAGCCTGCTTCTCCCTCTCCCACTCCCCCTACTTGTGTTCCCTCTCTTGCTGTGTCTCTCTCTGTCAAATAAATAAAAAATCTTTAAAAAAAAAACAATACTCAGTCCAAAAGAGGGCAGATAAACAGGAAAAAGTGAAACGAGATAGGACAAATAAAAAACAAACAGCAAGATGACAGATTCAGCCCTAACCATATCAATAAGCACATTACATGCAAAGGGTCTAAGTACCCCAGTTAAGAGACTTGATTCCAAGCTGTATATGAGAAATGCACTTCAAGTATAAAAACAAAAAGGTAGGGAGATAGAAAAGATACACCATGCTAACATAAGTCCAAAGAAAGCTGGAATGGCTGTACTAATACCAGACAGTAGATTTCGGAGATGAGAATATCGTAAGAATAAAGAAAGTCATTTCACGACAGAAAGCGGGTCAAATGATGACTAGGACATAATAATCCTAAATGTCTGTGCCACTGATATATGGCAAATACGCACAGGAATGGGCATCCCGCGTCACTGGCCATCAGGGGAAATAGAACCTCAGGGAGACACCACAGCACACTCACCAAGATGGCTAAATAATTTTAAACAGTGGAAACTACCAAGAGCGGCCAGGATGTGGAGGAACTAGAACCCTCATCCACGGCTGGTGGGAATGTAAAATGGTACCACTTGGGGAAATATGTTTGCAGTTTCTTAAAAAGTTAGGGGCGCCCGGGTGGCTCCGTCAGTTAAGGGTCTGACTCTTAATTTCGGCTCAAGTCATGATCCCAGGGTCGTGAGATTAAGCCCACGTCGGGCTCCACACTCAGCGGGAATTCTGCCTGAGGTTCTTTCCCTCTCCCTCTGCCCCTCCTCCCGCTCATTCTCACTCTAAAATAAGTAAATAGGGGCGCCTGGGTGGCTCAGTTGGTTGGGCGACTGCCTTCGGCTCAGGTCATGATCCTGGAGTCCCTGGATCGAGTCCCGCATCGGGCTCCCTGCTCAGCAGGGAGTCTGCTTCTCCCTCTGACCCTCCCCCCTCTCATGTGCTCTCTCTCTCTCTCACACTCTCTCTCAAATAAATAAAATCTTAAAAAAAATAAAATAAAATAAGTAAATAAATCTTTTTTTTTTTTAAGTTAAATATGAACCTACCATATGACCCAGCCATTTCCCTCCTAGGTATTTACTCAAGGTAAGTGGGAGCATTTGTCTCCACAAACTCTTGTACACAAAGGTTCATAGCAGCTTTATTTGTGAAAGCAAAACCTGGAAACTACTCAGATGCCCATCAGCAGGTGAATGGATAAACAAACTACAGGTCATCCTACAAAGGAACGGACTTTGAACACATGGAACAACATAGATGAGTATCATGAAATGATGAAGCTGAGTGAAAGAAGCAGGAGAAAGGCACACCGTATGATTCCATCTACATTAAATTCTATGAAATACAAACTTATCTCTAGTGACAGTGGTTACCAGGGGCAGGGAAGGGCAAGAGGACCTTTGGGGGTGATGGGTATGCTTGTCCCAACTGTGATTGGTTCACGGGTATCTACATATGTCAAAACTTGCAAAATTGTACAATTTAAATGTGCAGCTTATTTTATATCAATTATACCTTAATAGAATTCTTTTTAAAGATGCAAAGCTTATTTCATACAAAGTGTCACTTTGGGAAACCCCTCTGGGGAGGGCCTCTCCAGAGAGCATGCCTCGCAGTGACCTTCAGACACATGTCCGTGGACTCCCTGTGCCGGATGCTGTGGTCGCTCAGCCCA